GGGATTCTTGGTTTGGGGCTGACGAAGCTTCCGACTGACTGAGATGAAAAGAGATGTGGCACTAAGTTACAGCACAATTCACAATGCCATGGCAAGCACACAGAAGGCTCAGGAGACACTGCCACGGCTTAGGTTTGCGACGGATAGGTTAAGAAGCGATCCCTGAAACGACTGCGAAACCTTTGACTTTTTCTGTGGTATGCCGCTGTTTTCGGAGGAAACCAGGATTCAACCAATCCACTTCGAGTCGAAAGATTTGTCCGCGCAAACTCCGGCGCAGTGAGGCCAGCCGCCTCCAATGATGACGGCAGCGTTGGCGGAGGTTCGCGAGAGTTCCAACGGGCTTGGTCGTTATTTGATGGTGGTACGTCTTCCTGTTGACCACTTGCAAGCCAAGCAAGCATGTTGGGTTGGATACACGGCCCCGTGGTTTGCCTGCGGTGGTTTAGGTTCCAGGGCGGCAAGTCAACAATGCCAACCTGGACTTTGGTGCCTCAATTGGCTTTCCCTTGTTAAACTCCCAAACAAGGCGGAGAACCTGTTGTTGATTCGGGACCACTGCTTAGAGGGGAGAGTCCCCACCCATTTTTCCGTGGCCTCTTGGGGAAGCATGTAATTGTGCCCACAGCTCAAAAGAGCCCTCTCTTTCCAAACGGATGTTGGGTGAGACGGGTGAAAGGCTTGATTGTGGGGATAGTCGTGACCCCTGAAGATGGAGCAGTTTTGCGCGTGTCTACATTCGTAAATTATGTATCTGTACATGTGTAATATTACAATATATACATAATGTATAATACTCTAGCATATGATGTGTATTTATATATATATATTGTGTCGCTTGTACATATTTTGTCGCTTGTACATACACATAAATAGATTATGCATAGACATATAATTCTATCGATGTGTGTACATAAATATATATATATAAATACAAAAGTACATACTTGTAGAGAGAGATCGATTGTTATGCATGTTCACGTACGTGTGCACACGAAACACGATGCGGGAGACTTATTTTAGGGATGCACAACCATGCCTATGTAAGTGTTTGCAACTGTGCGTACATGTTAAGACACCCATGTCCGGTTTAGATAAATTTGCGCGTCGCAGACGAAGGATGATGTCGTTAGTTTACGAGACAAAGTCATGTTAGATGAGCTCTATGGTATTCTGAGGCACTACTCCCCTTTGCCAAAAGTAGAAGCGTTTCAGTAGGCATTAGTTCAACATGATGAAGGCCTGAGGCAGTCGCTCAGTTGCTCAGATGAGCATGCTGTATCGTGTTGTTCTGTCAAAATGTCCAATGGTTTCATACGGGCCTCGCCAAGGCAGGAGGGGGCTCACTCCATGTCCTTTTTCCGGAAGCTGCCGTGCATTTCTTTCTGCGTGGCTCATGTAGAGGCAAGGATAAACTGCGAGGCCTGAGGGCCAAATTTGGCGGGTGACCTTTGCCAGGTAGAAGCCGGAGCAGTCGAAGCTTGTCCCCGGAGTATGATGCCTTTGCAACAGGCCAGCAGCAACACTTTGAGTCCGGTCCTTTACCATGCTTTACCGACAAACAGAGAGACACAAAGAGTTACAAAGAGAGAGACAGACAGAGACAGATAGAGACAGAGAGACACATAAACGGGCCAGACAGACAGATAGACGGACAGACATATTGCCGAGTGGTGCATGCTCCAGGACCAGAGCCGCTGACATCGCCTCTCCGTGAGAGGCAGGTCTATAGTGATGCGAAGCAGGAAAGACGTGCGTCGAATCGTTTGCCCTCTCAGAGTTTGAGGGGAGTTCTGGTCCATCAATGGGCACCGGTTTATAGTTTGAGGCTTTGCGGCAGAAGCGCTTTCAGGCAGCTGATGCCTGTTGTTTGAAGCTTTCAACTTTGGACAGGATTTTACAAGTGGAGACTTCAGGAAGCACTTTGTTCCCTGTGCCGCCGCTCTTGCGACAGTCAATCCGAGTCTGCAGGCAACACGATGAGGAGTCTGCGGCAGAGTCTGTGCCTTAAAAATCTAGTCCAGATTAACAGTGGCAAGACTCATCGTCTTTGTTTCAGTTGCCCAGACTTCCAGTGAAGCCCTGTGTTCTAGTTTCTGGAGGGAGGTTCAAATGACCCGAGAAGAAGTGCTCTCTTGCGCCATGGCCACAGAGGTTTGGGGTTGGTTCCACTGCAAGAAGGACATGCAAAAGACGGATTTTCTTTTGCAGCAACTCATCACTTGGTGGGCACTTGCCTTTGGGACCCTTCGTGACATTCTATGCCTCGTTCGCGTTGCTTTGCACCCAGTCTCCCGAGAAAAGGATGACAATTATTCAACACCATTTGGTTGCGGTTGCCCCATATGGCTTTGGCCTGGAACCACACTGTCGTGCTAGCCCGAAAAAGCTGCCCAAACTTCGATTGCCTTGGTCATTGAGTCAATGAGTCATAGTCTCGCGCATGGTCTGGCTCTTCTTGTGGCAAGCCCCGCGGCTGGCAAGGCCAAGTGGACTTTCTGCCGTCCACCCAGCTTGGATCAGGGTGGAAGACCTTGCCCGAGTGGCAAACCCCCTGTTTGCCTCATTCAGTACCAGAAACACCAAAGTCCACCGTTTGGAACCGCCGGCAAAGTGAAGGTTGCGGCGCTGACACTTGCGGCATGGCACTGACACTTGCGGCATGGCACTCTCCAGTCCTACGCTTCGAGTCTCATGATGATATTGGTTCTATCAAAGAAAACGCATGTGCTCTCCCTGCGATTCATCGTGCTTGGCTTGCAACAGCTGTCTAAATTAATGCTGTCATAGTTAGGACAGGCCATGCGCAACTTTTTCCGGACTCAAAAGTCTGGGGTCCACCCTAGGGTTTTTTGCATTTTTTGAATAAGCGCCTCAAAACAGCCATTTTAAAACATTTTTTGAAACAGACTAAACACATTTTGATAAATATTTTTTTAGTACTGCATACCAACACAAAAATTGAATTATTTTTTGAAAAATTCAATACACCTAAACATTTTTATTTTCAAAAACACACATTTTCCAAAATATTTTAGAAAATATATTTTTTCAAAAGAGATAAATATATATATATCATTTTAAGAAGAATTATTCAATAAGAAACAACATTTTCAATAATTCAATGAGAAGACAAATAATTAATCATTTTTCAAAATTTGGATATTCCGGAGTTGCGCATGGCCCACCTTGTAGGATTTTATCTTCAATATATAAAACACTATACTTACATTATAATTATAACATATAAGGGTATAAATGTTATAATCATAGTATGGTTATAATTTAAATTCAGGATAACTATTTAATTGATATATCGTTCCTCTTTCATACATCATTTTAATAATACTATTAATATCTCTCACTGTATTTTGAACATTAAAATTTTTACTTTCAATAAATAATTTAATGATTTTTTTTACATCAAACCCTCTTTTTTTTTGATAAATCAATGCCCATAATATGTAGTGAATAATGTCATACTTTTCCTTACTGATTTCAAGAAATGCTTTAACATAATCATAAGGTGGTATTTCATACACAGTTAAAAATATCAAAATGTCATCTTCAACATTTCTTTCATTAAACCTTTTAATATCTAAATTATATTCGATTGCGTCTTGGTAATATCTCCATTTTTTACATGTTCTGCATATATTTTTGTTATCCAAAGAATAATCAATAATATTATTAACTATTCCATTAGGTAAATTCAATTTATATAATTCCATATTTTCCTCTTTGAAGTGGCAACAGTCATAGCATTTCTTATTGATATAATTATTGATTTCGGTTTCCGCCATTACACACTATATAATAATATATAGCTTTTATTTCTTTAAATACTTTTTTTCCAAGAAATAAAATTAAATATTGAAATATAATAATAACATATAATATTTGACATGTTATTATTATATTATGATTATAATTTCAGTACAGGATAATAATTTAATTGATTTGTCTTACTTCTTTCATACATCATTTTAAAAATAATATTAATATCTCTCAATGTATTTTGAACATTAAAATTTTTACTTTCAATAAATAATTTGATATTTTCTTTAACATCTTGTCCTTTCTCTTGACTATAACACAACATCCTTAATATATCATCAATCATACCATATTTTTTCTTAGGGATTTTAAGAAACTGTTTAACATAATCATAAGGCGGTATTTCATACACACTTAAAAATATTATAATGTCGTCTTCAACATTTCTATTATGTCTTCTTTTCAGATTTAAATGACATCTGATTAATTCTTGATTATCTCTCCATTCCTGACAAATTGTACATTCATCTTCTTCATCCATTGAATAATTAATAATATTATTCAATATTTTATTAGGTAAATTTAATTTATACAATTCCATATTTTCCTTTTTGAAGTGGCAACAGTTGTAGCATTTCTTATTGATATAATTATTGATTTCGGTTTCCACCATTTCTATTATAATATATATAGTTTTTATTTCTTTAAATACTTTTTTACAAGAAATATTAAAATATTATTTAAATTATTATCATTTACAACTACAATTGCATCTAACACAGTAAGGAATAATATTATTCAGTTCGTGTGACAACTCGTTTGATTTACGTTGCGCTGTCAGATTTGTCATTATATTACCGTTTTTAATATCCATAGAAAAACCGCATCCGCAGTAATTACATTGATTTGTGATATTATTTAAAAACCATTGCGCATTTACATAACCTTCTTTAGGTATTGTTCTTTTGGCTTTCCTGTCTTGTTCTTTGTAATTTAATATTTTCCTTTCAAAATAACTCATAATACATTTTTGATTAAATACATCATCAATATCTTTCGTATATTTATAAAATTTGACTTTGTTTAAATCTCTACACCTTGTAATTGCAGTCCATATCCATTCTGGATAATTCTTTACCAAAAAATGGTTATAATCAAAAATTGTTATGGTATCATCAATGCTACTGCCTTGGGCAGAATGACAAGTCGAGCAATATGCAAATATAAAATTACTTCTTATTTTATCAACTGACAAAGACTGTAGAATTTCAGTTTTAACATTCTTTAAAGTAAAAATTCCATCGCTTCCAATATGAACAATTTTATATTTGAAATTTACATTAAAAACTGATGTTTTAGTTGTTGTATATTCTCTACAAATTAAAAATTCTCCTACTTCATATTCGTCCTTTTTATTTTCTAATTTTCTAATTTCATTTGATACATTTTTACAAGTTGTATTTAAAAATGCTATGTTGTTGATAGATTTGCTTATGTCAGTTGTATATTCAAAGTATTTTTCAATAACTTTCATAATAGGTAATGTATTTTCAAAAATATCAATTTTAATATTTCTTAGTGTATCTTTATCTTCCTGTGTGTTAAGTCGCTTACATTCTTTTAACAAAATATTATATTCAAAAATGTTATCTATAATGTTATCAGTATATACTTCATAGTCTCGAGTATTTGTTATCTCTTGAACTGGTTTTAATTGCTTAGTGTCTCCTGTTGCTATTATAATTTTGTTGTGCTTATTCTGTTCTACAAATTGTTTTATTCTCCAATATATATTTAAATTACTAAAATAAACTTCGTCAAATACTATAACATCAAAATCTGTAAAATCAAATGGTTCTAATTTAGCATCTCCATAATTAATACCGAAAAATTTATTTATTGTCATTGCTTCGCCTTCGAATGCCTGTAATAGTTTATTAGTAGGACAAATAAAAATTACATTATAATTTTTATCAACCATTTTTTGACATATATATGATTTTCCTGTGCCTGGTAGTGCTCCACGAATCATAATAGGATTATTTTGTTCAATAATTTCAATAATATTATCTGTGTCATATTCATCTACAATATCAATAGTTTTACTTTCATAAACTGGTATTTGTATTAATTCGTTTTGTGTAATTTCATAATCTACAGTAGGAAATTTAATATATTCGTCGTTTGAAATTCTCCATCCTCCTATTTCATTATTAAAGATTAAAAGCTCTCTTGCTTTTGTTATATCCGATCGCTGTATTACAAATGCATCTGTTTTGACACTGAACACATTAATGCCATTTTGATATAATTTAGAATAATCTTGATACATTCTAAAATTATGATATTGAAGTAGTAATTCTTTTACATACCTAAAACCATTCCTTAAGCGCGATGTATCCTTTAGATTAAGTATATAATACGACGCCTGTTCTTCTTCTGCTGTATATTGTTCTTCATCTACTGTAATTTGTTCTGTCGTGAAATGTGTTAATTTATGTATTTTACCTCCATACTCTGCCTGATAGTTTAAAGCTTCCTTAAGATTTTTAAACACTGTGCTCTTCTGGTCAGTTGCTCCCCCCTTTTCTAAAAGTCCATAATTAACATTTGCGACCAGTTTTTTTATACATTTATCTTCCTCATTGTCTTCGCTAATGTTTGTGTTCCAAAGTTCATTAACAATATTTTTATGTTCAACTTTGTGAATAAATGAAGGTTGTTTAAAGTATAAAATATTAATTCGTTCTCTTGTCATGTTATCTAGTTGTTTCAAAAATACACCATATAGTAAGCAATATTTTTTATTAAATAGCAATCGTCCTGTCCGTTTTAGTATAGTAGTTTTCTTTTCTATATAATATAACGTTAAGTCGTGTAGGTCATAAATATCAGTTGTATCATCAAACGCTCGCCATATGTCAAATTGATTAAATACTGGTATTTCTGATATAGTAATAAACGCATGAGTAAATGCTTTTGATATATCGATTTCGATTTCATTTTTGATATCTCTGCTATCACACAATAAGCCAGATGGAACAACTGTTCTGGCTTCGTCTAAAATTTGAATATCAATGTCATTATAAAACGATTTATGAGATAAGTTAAACAATGACTTATTAAAATTAAACATTGCTTTATTCATATTGTTATATGTGGTTTCATCACATACTGCAATACATCCATCTGCAGAAGTTTTTATTAAATTTTGTGTTTTTATTATATATATTGTTTTGTTAAATTTTATTTTTATTTCTGATATAATACCAGCTTGAAATCTAATTCTTGGTTCGTAGCCACTATTAACTAAATTGAAAAATAATTCAGATAACTTATTGTCTTCGGATACTAAATATATCTCTTTTGTTTTTTCATCAACTTTGATATTTAGTATATCGTCAATATTTTTTATCATTCTATAAAGCGGTGGTTCCTCTCTTTCATTAATATAGTAGTCGGTTGAAGCTTTGACAGTTGGTATCTTGGTTATTAATTGTTTCTGTTGAATGCTTTTTAAGTCGTGATTCATTGCGTAAATATGACTGTTTTTGACCATTGCATAAAATGGTTTGATGTGCCTACTATTTATATCGGGGTCGCATTTATAAATTAATTTATTGCAACAATCATAAATTCTGCATGGAATTTTAAACTGTTTAAATACAGCCTCCATCTCGTGAATGGTTGCCCCCGTTTCACTAAAGTTATCTCTACCTATAA